CACCTGACAGTCCCCTGTCCATTCAAGGGGTTCAGAGTCCAGTCACTTTAAAGAATTATACAGTGGCTTTGCTATGAGTCCAAAGTTTGGAATCCAAATCCAACAAAACTCTGTAATTCCCAAGGACCCACGAAGCACCTTCTGTTTTCTGGGATTTTTAGCTTAGCAATAGCTTGCTTTCTATCTGCCATCAGACTTCTGGTACCCTGTTTGAGTTGAAATCCCAGATACGCCACTTCCTGTTTGCAAATTTGGGCCTATGAGGTGACAGTTTATATCCCTCTGTGCCAAATGATTTAGAACTGTGATGGTTTTGTGCAAACAGTCCTCATAGCTACTGCTGGCCATTAACAGGTCATCCACATATTGCAAAAGAACTCCCGATTTCAACTGACCACCCCTTAAGTCTTTTGTTAGCACTTCCCTGAATATAGTCAGGGAGGATCCCTTAAATCCTTGTGGCAGGCAGCACAGTCCAGCAGTATTGGAGCGTGGCTTTAGCCTCTGGGCTCTGCCACTCAAAGGCCAACAGTCGCTGAGCCTGCTCATCTATCGGGATGCAGAAAAAGGCATCCTTCAAGCCAAGGACTGAAAACCATTTCTGGCATCCCCAGAAGGACCTGGCATCCCCAGGCACCATAGTCCACAGGGTGTAAGGGTTAGGCACAGTGGGGTGAATGTCCTGGACAGTGTCATTGTTGGCCCTGACATCCTGTACCAACCAATACTCATCTGAGGGTGGCTTTTTGAGTGGCAAAATGGGAGTGCTGTAGGGTGACCAGCAAAGCCTAATTAATCCTGATTCCAAAAAGTTTTGCAACACTGGCTGGATCCCTTCTAAAGCCTGTTTGAGGGGATACTGGTTTTTTCCTGTGAGACCCATACCCCTTCTTCTAGATGTGTCTTTATGTGTTGCACAGTAACTGCTTTACCTGGAGTTCCATCAGCCCAAACAGTTGGGTAGAGCTGCTCGCAGATCTCATGTGGGAAGGGTTCACCTCTGGGGCCTGGGGTCTACAGGTCAGGAAAGCCTGCAGCCAGAGGGCATTTTCCAGTGGGACTCCCACACACAGCTGCTGTCACCTGAGGAAAAAGGATATTTGTGACTGCAGTTTACACAGCAAATCTCTGCCCCACGATGGAATAGGACAATCGGGCATACAGAGAAAACGATGTGTAAGCTTCTCACCCCCAAGCTGGCATTCCAGAGGTTGCAGGAATGTGTTTTTGTACCTGGTCAGACACACCAGGAACTGTTACTTCATTTGAGCTTTTTCCAGTCAACTTGGTGTTCAACATTGAGTATTTAGCTCCCATATCTACAAGAAAGTCAATTGGCTTGTTCCCCACACTCACTTGTACCCGGGGCTCCTGTGCAGGAGTAGTGATAGGTCAGGAGATGTCCAATGGAGCCCCTGGACCTCCTCATTCATTATGCTCCGTTCTCTGCCTCTGACCATCACTCAGTCTGGATTCTTATTCTTACTTTCCTTGTTGCTTTTTGGGCACTCATTCTTCCAGTGAACCTCCTCCCTGCAATAGGCACATTGATTAATGCCTGTTGGGCCTTTCTTCTCCTTAGGGCCCCTTTTGCCATGAGCATGGTAGCGGGCACCCAATGAGTTTCCTTTCTCTGACCTAAAACATGGCTAATTTTGGTTTCCTTGGGCTGTTTCCAAAAACACCGTATTCCATATTGCCTTCCCTGCTTCCTGGGCATTGTAGATGTTAAATGTTATGTCCACCAGCTGGGAAGGGCTCATTCTCAATACCCAGTCTACACACTTGAGTTTGTTCCCTGTATCCAGGGCACTATGTCCAATCAAGTCATATTTACCATCCTCACATTTTCTGGTGCCTCTGGATCTGCATCAGGGTATCTCCTATCAGCCTCATGGATCCTTTCTAAAAATTCGAAGGATTCTCATCTGCCTTCTGCTGAAGAGTCAGTATCAAATTCAGGCCCCTCTGCTTGGGCACTCCTTTCCTAAGCCCTTTCAATATGCACCTCTTTAGCATTTCAAAGAGCCACCTCTGCTATTTGGGTTCCACTTAGGGTCCACCCAAGGAACTGCCTTAACTAGGTCAAGGAACCCCTGGCTGTCATCATGGAGATGCTGCGCTTCCTGATCAGCCCTGTTTAGAACCAAGTGTCTTTTGTCTGCCATAAGCAAAATATTCCAGGGGGCCTGTACATCTGCCCAATTTGGGTGGTGACTGGCAAAAACAGAGGTGATAAGATCTGCCATCTTTTGAAAATCATCTCTATATGAGGGTTGGAATTTCTTCAATTTAGTAAGTCCGAAGTAGAGAATGGAGTATGGGCCCCAATAGTTGCCAGTGGTTGGCCTGCTTCATTTACTCCACCCACTGGGTATTGCCTCAAAGCGTATTGGCTGGCTACACCTTTGGAGGGCCCCAGTTATAGCAGGTCACCTGTTGAGTTCATTGTGGGGGGGTGGTGAGACACGTTTTTTAGCAGATAGAGGTGGAGCAGTCGGCTTTACAATCCCTGCTTCAGGGGAGGTTACAGAGGGAGATGGTACTGAGGTGTCTCCCGCTGCCTGTGGAGGGGGGGGACCATGGCAGTGGCAGTCCCCATTGCCTGTGAGGCCAGACATGTAGAAACCTCCACCACCTGTGAGGGCAGCAGCCCCATGGAGACCTCTCCCACCTGCAGCTGGTGAAGCACCTCTGCAGCCCCTCCCATCTGCAGGGGGACTGGAGCCCTGCAGGTCCTTCCCACCAGGGAGGGTGGCATTCCTGCTGAGACCCCTCCCACCTGCAGGGGAAGAGGGGTGGTGCAGGTCCCTCCCACCTGCAGAGGGTGAGGCACTAGGTTACCCCTCCCATCTGCCAAGGGAGCAAAGCCACTGGGGAGGGCAGCAGCACAGAGGATACACCTTCCACCTGCAGAGAATGCAGATCCCTGGTGGAGACCTCTCCCTCTCTCCCTCCTGCAGCAGGGAGGAGCCCTGGCAGGCCCCAGCTCCCAGGGAGGTAGCAGCACTGCAGAGGTCCCTCCCATCTGGGAGTGTCCATTTCTGGGTTCAGAGCATTAATGAGGTTTAGTTCCTCATCATCCCTCCCCTGTGGAGCTCTGCTCTCAGGGAGGGATTTTGAGACCACGTTTTCCTTCTATACCATTACACGCTTCTCTGTCTGTGTCATAAGGCTACTATGCAACATTATAAATGCATTAAAATAGTGGAGTTCTTCTGAGAGTTGTGACGTTGGGAATGCCTTTTGAACCGGGTAATGATGCAGTAATTCAAGGAACCATTCACAGGCCACCTCAGCTCATCACTCAAAACTTAGGTAGGCCACACACTGTTACAATAGTGAAACAACAACTGCTTACATAAAAGATTCTTGTAATTCGACTTGGAGGAGCAACTCTCCCAGTCCCTTTGAATTCTACCTAGTGGGCTCCACTCAGGACTGGCTCAGAACACCCTATACTTTTCCAGCAGAGCATCAAAAAATTCACAAGAGGACTGAAAAGACCAGGTATTTCCTCAGCTGTTGTCCATGACTCCAACTCCATTATTCCAAAACAGTACTCAGAAAACAAACTTTCAACCAAGATACTTCCACCATGGCTCCCTTCCCATTTCATTTCCTCTTCACCTTTCTGGGTGTGATTAGGCAGCGGATGCCCTCAGGAGGAGTGCAGGGAGATTCTCAGAGACTGGGGAAATTCTGAAGTCTCAGTCTCCTCCCCCTGAGGGGGTCAGTCTGCCATGGACAATTATCTTTCCATCTGGGTCACCAAAAACTGATTCAGAACAAACCAGGGCAGGGGGCACTGAACCACACACAACACCCTTCTTTTTCTCCAGGGTTCCTCCCCACCTACTGGGGTCATTTTGCCTGCCATCTGAGAAAAGACATCTGTTAATACCAGAGATCAGTGAAAAGGAAAGGAACTTATTATTTATTTTAAGTAATACAAACTAAAGTTTTCCACAAATGCACACAGTCCTCCAGGCACCCTCCATGTGGCAAAAGGGAGCACTTCCAAAGCCTCGTGGTGCTGACTCTCACCCAAGCTGAGTGGTCCCAACAAAGACACCAAAGCCGTGTGGTCCCGAAGAGACGCGTGGTCCTGAAGAGTCGCATGGTCCCCAAAAGAGAGATGCCCAATGGCTGCGGCACCTCCATTTAAACCCCAGTACCAATCTTCCTCTGCAGCCCCATTTCTAGCTCCTCCCACAATTGGCCACAGCTGCCAGCATCCTGGGCAGGTGTGGCCCTGTGGTGTGGAGCCAATTATCTCCAAGCTCTTCTGGATCCTATTACAAATCCCTATTTGAGGTTCCCCTCTTGGCTGCACCCTGTTACAAATCCCTTTTTTCAGTTACACAACCCCTATATAATCATATAAAGAATAGTGGACGAAGGTCTCATTTTCTTGTAAATACTTCGGAATGAACAGGGATGTCATCCTACCTACCCTTGGGTCAGAGGTGCCCTGAAAGGGGGGTGGGAGGGTGCAGCATGGAGGGAGTCCTTCTTGTGAGGGGAAAAACCTTACAGAATCCAGGTCAGTTGGCTGTCACCAGCAAGTGACAGGCTTGATGTCCAAAGGCTGGCATTAGTGAACAATTGGCATCCTAGTAGTATTTTGGAGGTGACAGATTTGGAAATACAGTTGGAAGCACAATTAAATCAGTCACTAAATGACAAGGGCAGGGACATAGGTAATGAATGGCTTATCTGGAGGAAGGTTGCAAGGCACGCTACACCTATCCAAACCCCCTGTGGCCCACTATACTTCACTCAGGCTGAGGGGTATATATTAGAATTTCCTCCTTTCAGATTTCTGGGTTCTTTCCGTTCAAGCCTTTAGGACAGAACAGGGGAAATCAGTTCTAAAATGAAGCCCACAGACCACCCCAACCCAACCACTTAGTTCAGTCAAACTGTTGAGTCTCAGGGGGAAATGATGAAGATGGGCTCCTTAACTGAGGCCTATATTGCAACCAGTCACTCAGGTAATGGGGTATAGGCATATGCCCTACAAAAAGCTTTGCATTGCATTAAGCTTTCTTTGCATTAAGGTGTGATGGTGAATGTAAAGTGCCCCAACACCAGTCCTCAGCCAGGGCTAGCTCTCACGTGGGAATGACTGGGACCCTCCCAGAGCCTCTGCTTCTCTTTTCTTCCTTCCCACAGATTCCACTTCATTGTGCACCCTTTTCTATGAAAAGCTGACCCTGCAGAAGGTGCTGGTCACCATTGCAGTCCCCTGGGCCCTGGCTGTGCTGTCATGAACGAGGAGAACCATTTCATGGTGGACACCCACAACTGCTCCTCCCCGCTCTACTTGTGCTGGGAGGCCTGGCCTGAGAAGGGTGCGCGCTAGGTCTACATCGCCGTGCTCTTTCCCTGCTGAAACGTTTCATGGTCATGTATACCTGCAAGCTTGTCGAGGCCTTGGGCCCTGGCCAAGTGGGCAAGGAGGGCAGTTGGGGGCAGGTGGGGGTCCGGTACAAGGCCAAGGTTGTGCACATGCTAGTTGTGGAGGCACTCTCCTTCACACTGTCCCAGCTGCCGCTCTGGGCACTGCAGCTGTTCACCCGCCGCCAGCAGCTCAGTGAGGCGCAGCGGCATCTGGTCCCTGTCTACTGCCTCCTACTCCTTCCCCTTTGCCCACTGGCTGGCCTTCTTCAACAGCAGTGCCAACCCCACCATCCATGGCTACTCCAACAAGAGCTTCTGCCATGGCTTCCAGGCTGCCTTCTGTGCCTGGCTCTGCCCGCTGCAGTAGGGGAGCCACCAGAGGGCCTACTGCTCTCATGGGTTTGGTGGGGACGCTGCCCGGGGGACTCTGACCTGCCTTTGAGGCGGGGCCCCGTAGCCGGTGCTCCCAGGCCAGGCTGCCTCCTGCCACACCGTGACCGGACTGCACACCATGGCTCAGCTGGGGAGGGCCCTGGCTGCTCTCAGCCCGAGGCATTTGAGTGGCACAGGGAGGGCAGCCCCTTAATCGGAGGGCCGGGACTGGACATGTGAGACCTGCACGTGATAGCAGCCTAGTGCAGTTTTGAAGAGAGTGCCATGGTGCCTCCTTTTCAAATACAAGGCAGTGGGCAGCTGCTAATGGTATCTTCTCTACTGCCTCCCCGTCAGAGACAGGAGGGGAGCGAAGAGGGGCTAAGTTTCCCCCAAAGCCTTTTGTGTGGTAGACACCAGGAACTTCATCTTGTGGAATTCTCATGATGATAACGGTAACATGGCAAGTACCGGGGGTGCGAGCAGGAGCAGGGGGTGGGGTGGGGGGGTTGTGCTGCGAAGGGAGAAAGACCTGTTAGTCTAGCCTGGGAACGAGATGGGATTGGTTGGAGGGCCGGACTCTCCCAGAGCTCAGAAGTTTGGGCTGGAAGATATAAGTCAAGGGAAGGGAGGGGCAGGCCCTCTTGGACCCACGTTGGAGGCGTGCTGGCTGGAGCATTTGCAGATGGGCTGGCTCTGGAAGCCTCATGGCTAATGGCAGCTCCAACAGCACACATGGACCCCAGAAGAGAGTCTGAAGCTGGAGAGCCTCCTGCTTAGCCACCTTGGGCTCCAAAGGACAGATGAGGATGGAGGAGGAATTCTGGCATTGTTTTGGGCTTTGGCCTTTTTGGGAACAGCTTTTTTTTTTTTTTTTTTGGTATTTTGTGGAAGTGATGAGCCTGGAGATGGGGAATCCCCTGTTCTCCCAAGTTGCACAGCATTTAAATAAAGACCTCTTTCTTTCTTCACCAGCCTCTGTCTCTGGAATTCGCCTGTGGGTGGCGTTGGGCAGCCAAGTCCCCCTTTTGTTTGGCGACAATAACACTTTGGGAACGGACTTCCCTATCTCCCTTCTGCAGACAAGAGGCTGATCCCAGGAGAGCTGTGGCTAGCCCTGGCCCTCACTTGGAAATGTCTCAGGAGCACAGCCAACTCCAGTGACTGTGGTTTTGTCATCTCCGGCTATGCCTGTTATGGTGGAGCATAGTGAGATGTATAAAGGCTAATTAGGCTGCTGGAAAGAAGCTGAAAGCACAGCTGACCAGCACTTTGATTCTTTGTGTCCACTTTCTGGAGTCTCTTGTGTTACTGAAGCCCCGCCCCTTGACTTCTTCCAAGATGAACATGGTATGCTCCTTCTGCCTGTGTGGCAGTGTCTTGTGGGTGTGTCTTGTTGGTGTCCAGGGCAGTTCACTTCTTCCCAAAGTGCTGCAACAGGACTTCATGCCTGAGCAGCCGCAGAATGTCGAATGTACCCTGAAGAGCCTGCATCAGTACCTGCAGGTACTCTGGGTCTTGCCCTCTGGGTCTCAGCCCTGTGGGGGTGGGAGTGGGGCTGGGGAACTTTGTCCTCCCTCCTCTCCTCACAGGGGACTCACCACCATCCCCACCCCGGGGGCCCAGGCAAGAACTTACAATGTGACAGACTGCTAGCTTCAAGGTCACATGGAAGTATCGGTTTATTTACCCGTGGACAGGAGGAAGGGAAAGCACAGGACCACTTTGCTGCCTTCGAAACACATCTGCTCACTGGAGCTGCAAGCACAAAGCCTTCTCAGGTCTTTTTCCATGGTCCCCTCCTGGGAATGTGGGGGGAGGAAGTTGGCCAGCCAAAGCCAGTGTGCCCTTTGGGGCCTCCTGCAAGACAAACACTGAATCCCTCCCCAACATGGATGACTCGTGTCCCCTAAACAGGGCCAGGAACCAGGAGGCCCCCTGCATACTCTGACGCTCACCCAGCGTGCCTGCATCATTTTGGAGAAAAGAGGCTTCTTCTAGAGCGTGGGTGGCAAACACAAGCCCCGCGGGCCAAATCTGGCCCTCCACCTTGTTTTATCCAGCCCGGCACCTTGTTTCTTTTCTAGCCAGTGGCAGTGCCGAGCTCTCGCTTAACTGTTAAGGAGCAGTTACATTTATACAGTCCTAACATTACACTGGGCCCTTTGTTAGGCAACCATGAGGCTGATGTGGCCCCCAGTGAATATGAGTTTGACACCCCTGGTTTAGGGGATGGAAGGAAATGGGGTTGCCTCAGTGATCCTTGCACAGCCCCAATAAACTTGACATTTCCCTGCATTTCTATAGAAAACACAGTGTTGCTAGAATTTTAGTGAACAAAAAAGAAACATTACCAGAAATCAGGGCAGAGGATGGAACTCCAAGTCTTCAATTGTTTCCTCAATCTACAAACAGTGACTTAATCTTGTTTATGCCACTTTAAGTACAGACATAGGACAGAAGGAAATTTCTAAACAATTGTGTAATCCCTTCTAAGCAAGTCCCCAGACACTGTTTCAGTTGAGTCATGCAAATGAGGTAGAAAATACTATTGCCATTTCACAAAGTAACCTAGGTTTAAAGGGGCCAAGGGCAGAGGCCACAGAGGGGCAGGGTTCAAATTTGTCTTCTGGTGGTTTCTTCCTACACTGCTTCCTGCCTCTCTGGAAAGGTGGCTTGGGGATAGCAGGGAGGCTTTTTGCCTACAGGCGAACCAGAATGTTGGAACCAGCATCCCCACCGTCAAGTTCCTGGCCTGGGAAATGAGTCTGTTGTGTTGACTCTTTAATACCGGGTCTGAGCTGCTCTGTGCACAGTATCTCTGAACCCATGTGTCGAACAGGGTACCCAGACATGAAGGTCCTTTGCAATCCCACCCAGCCCAGGTGTCCGGGAGTGAGAGGAGGGTCTCAGGAGAGGGCGTGCCATCCTGTCCCTCATTAGCTAGTGCATGTATGGGCCCCGTTTTTGGTGCTGTGTCAGTGTCATGTGTCGCATAGGCCAGAGGGCTGCTGGCTACTTACTGCCAATAACTTTGACTCCAGGCTCTAAAAATAGTCCAGAGAAAGGGCAGTCTCGAGTAGAAACGCTTGCCGCCGTGGGTGCAATCTGTCCAGAGACACCGCCTGGTCACTCTTCTGGAGTGTGCTTCTTTCTCCTGCAGCATGGCCTCCCCAACCACAGACTCAGCTTCTACCGCTAGGGGAGACCAGGACGCTCACCCAGGCCAGCCTTTCCACCAAGGCCCCTTTGTTTCATTCCCCACGAAGATGCCATGCTTTGAAAGACAGCGCCTGCCAAGAAAGCTGCACTGGGTCCTAACTGATATATTTTGCTGTTAGTTTTATTTCTTTTTAAAAACCAATCAAGGGCTATGCCTGCCCATTTAGAGATCTGATCTAAGTGGTAAGCAGTGTGACATGATGCCTGTGTAAGGGGGTGAGGCTTTGTGGGTACCTGTGAAATGTTTGGTTTTTATACGTGTTGTAAAATACACACAACATAAAATGTACCTTCATGATGATTTTTGAAGTGTACAGTTTAGGGACATCAAGTGCCTTCACGCTGTTGCATAACCATCACTACTATTTCCAGAACATTTCTTAACACCCCCAACTGCCACTCTGTACCCATTCCTCCCAGCTCCTGGCAACCACCGTTCTACTTTCTGTCTCCAGGTACTCTAGGTACCTCATGCAGAAGGAGTCATACAGTACTTGTCCTTTGCGACTGGTCTTTCACTTTGCATTGCATCTTAAGGTTCATCCACGTTGCAGCACATATCAGCACTCTGTTCCTTTTTAAGGCTGGACATATTCCACTGTATAGGTATACACCACATTTAGTCTATCCACTTGCAGAAGGCAGGTTGGGTAGGCATGACAGGAGCAGGAATGATGGGCCAGGGGCAGAGGGTCGCCAGGGCCGAGAACACTGGGTGCCTAGCAATGGGCACAACTGCAGGCCCTTGCACAGCCATTCCCTTGAGCATTAGCTTTTGGAGAGGACATCTGGGCCTTGAGCTGTGCTCCAGCTTTAGGCCCAGAAAAGCGGCAAAACCAGACAGAGCAGAACCACAATGCCATGGCTGACATCAGGACCAGCTGCAATGACTGATGATGCCCTCCCCTGGTGCCAACCAATCAGTGGAGACCACATCTTACTGGGATCCTCCCCTGAGACCTCAGATAAAAGCCCCCAGGATGGAGGACCCATCTCCGTCTGTCTGTCTGTCTCTCCTAAGCCAAGAGCCCTTGTTTTGCCTTTGCAGCTTGTTCCTGAGCCCATTTCTTTACAGCTCACTCCTACCTCTGTGACTTTCTAAATAAACTTTCTTTTATAATTTGAGTCTTGGCTCTGAATTCTCCTGTTAGCCAGAACTCAGGCACTGAGGTTGCTGAACCAAGGCTAACACCTGGTGCCATTTTTTCTGTCACTAACACAACTCATTCGTCAGTGGACACTTGGGTCGTTTCCACCTTTTGACTATTGTGAATAATGTGTGGAGTTTTAAGTTCCTGAACATGGTGCCTGTGTGAACCCTGAGGTCAGAGACCCCAGAGTGGGAATCAGGATTTCTCCCAACTTGGCATTTAGGGACAAAGCAGAGTCTCTGAGGGAAGCTGTGATTGTCTCCCTCCACCCCCAATGCCCACCCAAGTGCTCTGAGCTCCTCCTGCTGCACTTTACTTATTAACTAAAGTGGCTAGAAAATTGTGTGTTTTCTCCACAGGATGATATTTTATTATTTATTTATTTTGAACACTTTTTTTAAAAAAGATTTTATTTATTTATCTTTAGAGGGGAAGGGAAGGAGAGAGGGAGAGAAACATCAATGTATGGTTGCCTTCCGTGTGTCCCCTGCTGGGAACTGGCCTGCAGGGAACGGGCCTGCAACCCTGGCATGTGCCCTGACTGGGAATCGAACCGCAATTGTCTGATTGTGCTCAATCCACTGAGCTACACCAGCCAGGGCCACAGGATGATATTTTATGAAGCTATTTTTATAAGTATAGCTTTGTTACCTTCACCAGAATCCTGTGTCCGGGTACCTGGGCCTTGACAGGGGCC